GGGTGGGGGGGCAGAGTCCCCAGGCTTTTGGCTGAGCTGGGGAACGGAGGAGCAGGGGCATGGAGGGGCTCCTCTGGCTTAAGTAGGTCCTACATCTCAGACCCCTCTCTATTCTGGAGTCGCTGGCCAGAACTAAGCTGCGGGGTCCTCAGGGAGAGCTCCCCTCTGGCCAGCCAGCCAACAAGGGCTGGATCCTGGGAATATGCTAATCAGCCAGCAGGGTGGGGGGGGGGCGGGGGGCGGGGGCGGTGTCCCAGCTGGGGATAGCACATCTGGAGCCTGGAGCAGCAGGGTTGGAAATAGACCTCGATAAACATATGGAGTCCCCTGGGGCCAGGGAGCCAAGGCAGACTAAGAGGGGGCCTCACGGCTGAGCTGTTCTCAGGCTCGACGGGGGTGGGGCAGCAAGGAAGTGGCGGGCAGTGGGGGTGGCCTGGATGGAGAATCTGGAGGTACTGGCCCCTTGGGTATGGGAACAAAGGGAGGACTCCTGAGCCTGAAGGAGGAGAAATGCAGCAAGCTGGTGGGATCTTCCAGTAAATTTGCAGCGACAAAGGACAGACCCCCGAGTCACGGACTGACATCCAAGCCTGCCCCGCCCCATCTATGAGCATTTTCATTTACTCATTTGCTCAGCAGCTGACCAAGCAAGACCAACCCGGGACTGGGTCCCCAAATTTGGAGCCCTTGCTCAACCACTAATGAGCTGTGTGACTGTGGCCATGTCACTCACCCCTTCTTGTCTCAGTTTTCTTCTCCCCCAAAACAGGACTGGATTAAATGCCCTTGAGGGTTCCTTCTGACCTGAAACCCTACTGATCCTCTTCTTTTATTCATTCCTTCCCCCTCACTCTTACTTGTGCTGTTCACACCCCCCTCCTGCCCCTTAATTTCCTGGGACACTCCCTGCACATTCCAGCCTCCCTGCCCTTGCCCACACGGGCCCTTCCCCCAGAATGCCCACCCCACTCCTTTCTGCTGATCCAGAGCCTGTCCACCTTCCTAGAATAACACGGAGCCTTAAAATGGCAATTAATGCGCTGGCCATTATGTAAAACGATTTTTATAAAGTATACGAACTACTTACGACAACATATCAAAAGAGGTAATTATAAAGACTACATACAGCCCTAGAAAAAAGGGGGTTTATGATAATACTACATGAAAATAGAAAAAATACAAAACATGCGCTGTGATGAAAACCATATAAAAATTTGTATACCCGAGGAAGGGAAAAGGAACAAAATAAAATGGCTGTTTCAGAGGAGTGGGAGGAGGGATGGTGTGTGATTTTGTTTCAAGTCTCTGCAATTACTCCAATTTTCTTTCTAATGTACACACTGCTTTTAGAATTAAAAAAAACCCAGTGCTCTCAAATCCCTCCCGCTCCACCTCCTCCTGGAAGCCTCCCTAACTCCAGCCCACGATGATCTGTCCTTCTTCAAATTCCTGTGGCACAAGTTTCCATCTTATTACGTACGGAACAGTGGGAGACAGGAGAGCACCCACAGAGGGCTCTGCCTCCAACCCGCCTCAGCCCGGTTCACTCCTGGGTTTCCTGCCCATCTCTGCCTGGCCTGGGAAGATTACTTAACCCTTGGGGCCTCAGCTCTCTCATCTTCAAAATTATGATAACGTTGCTACCCCATGGGGTACTGTGAAGATCCCGAGACAACGGCTGTGAGCATTAGCCCCGTGCTGGGCTCATAGTCAGCTCTCTGATGTCATCATCATTGGCACCTTGTTTCCCAGTGGCTTGCATATATTGATATACAGTCATGCACCACATAACGATGTTCGGTCAACGATGAACCACATATACGACGGCGGTCCCATAAGATTAAGATTAGTACCATATAGTGTGTAGTAGGCTAGACCATCTAGGTTTGTGTAAGTACACTCTGCGATGTTTGTTTGCACAAGGACCAAATCGCCTAACGATGCATTTCTCAGAGCAAATCCCCATCGTTAAGTGACATACAACGGTACTTGTCTTTCCAATCTGGCAGCAGATTCCTTGAGGCCAGGCCCTACACCTCTCGGAACAGCCACCCCACGCTGGGCACACTGCACATGCAGAGTAAGTCCCCTTCCCCTGTCTCTTCTCCACACACGCTCACTCTTTTTCCCTCCAGGTGCACCAGGCAGAAATCCCCCCCACCCAGAGGTCAGAGGACTCTAGACTAATTGGAAGACTTGGGCTCACCTTATGCCATAAAGCGGGATGCTGGGTGGAACATCACCCCAGCTCCTTCTCCAGGCCACTAGCCATGCCAGTGCCCTCCACCTAGGCTGAGAGATTCGTTGATGAAGGCCCAGGGCATATGACACAGCACAGAAGAGGGAGCTGGCCTTCCCTGCACCCTGTCAGCAGAGACACCTGGGCCTCAGCGTCCTCATAAGTAAAGTAGGGAGGATACAACTGCTGTTTTCCTCGCAGAGCTGTTGCAAGGATCACATGAGAGGAGCACTGGACACACGTGTTGGCGATCAGCACTGCCACCTGTCTGTCACTAAACGCTGCTCCCCTCACCCCCAGCCTACTGCTCCAGATTCCCTGCCCCCACAGCCACATCAGGCAACCCAGATAGAGAGGCTCATTTTGGAGCAAAGGCCTGGAGCTTAGGAAATGGAGTCCCTTGCTGTTCTCTGGATGGGCTGAGCAAGAAGGGGCTTAGAAAGAAGAGGCACCTTTCCTTCAGGCCACCTGAACATCCCCAAGGACTGGGCCTCTACTCTGAGGCCACCTTTAGCTCCACCCTTGGCGCCAGCTGAAGGGGAGCAGAACCGAGTGCCCGAGGCTGGTGCCAATTCCCTTCCTTGGGCACGTGGCAGGAAGGGAGGTGGGGGCGAGCTGTGGGAACAGACCGTTCCGTGGCTCTGTGGGGCCCAGCCATTTGGGAATGGCTCGGTGCAGGCTCTCCCCCCAGCCCGGTCATCCACAGTGGCTCCAAGGGCAATCACAGAGCGAGTAGGACTTTACGAGGCATGGCACATCCCTGGCAGGGACACCCCACCCCTCCCTGATCCACAGGAAGGCGGGTAAGACAGTCCACAGCTGAGGGCCAAGGGACGCGCCCTGGGGAGTCGAGGGCTAGGAGACTTCAAAGCCCTCAGAGGACGCTGGCTCTGAACCGGCCGCTCCCAGGCCCAGGTCAGCTGGCAGCAGGAAGGTTTGTGTTTCTTTTAATATCAACTCCCAGGCATTTAACATTCCTCGAAGCTTAAACACAGAAACATTTTCCTTACCAGACTGTGCTTTCTGCTTTGCCAAACATAACCTGGCCTCCTCCCCTCCCCCTATCGCCTCCATCTGCTCCTGTCTCCAAGATGTAATGATTTATGGTGTGTTTCCCCTGGGGCTTGTGCAGCTGACAGAGTGAGAAGCAGGGAAGCAACAGGGCTGGAAGTCCAGGTGGGGACAATGACATCGAGCCCCGGAATCCGGGTTCTGGGGGAGGTTGGGGCCCATGGTGCTCACTGAGCTGGCTGCCCTGGACATCCTTTTTAACTCTTCCATTGCGCAGCCACCAAAGGCCTGGGGAGCCTGGCAGCTGGTCATGCTTCTTGGCTGGGTATCTCCTGGGGCTGGATGGGCCAGCCCAGGACCCCTTCCCTGCCTGTCCCTCCGGCCAGCCCAGGGAACGTGGAGATGGGGCTCCCACTCCTTACCCCTGCAGGAAGTACGTTCCTGGGACTGAATTTTGAGAGCCCTCCCTCATCAGCCCCATTTCCTAAATAATGACGGACTGGCTTGTGGTTGCCTGGCAGCACCGTCTCCCTGGCGACAGTGCTCAAGAGCGGGGTGCAGGTCCCACAGCGTTAGGAAGGGATGTGCTCAGGAATACGGGGCAACATGAGGCAGATAGCTGGGCCCCCACCGAATGGTGCCGTCCCCCTGTTCAAACACTGGAGCCCGAGACACGTGGGGGGAGCAGAAGGCCCTCATGGGTCCCCAAGGGGGCACTACCACCAAGTACGCCCAGCCAAGAGCCAGATACCAAACTCTGCAGCCTCAACGGTATGTCAGAGAACAAACGCTTCCTGTGAAGAAGCATCATCACCTTCCACACGCAGGTCACATCTGGGGCAGGTGTTCAGAAGCCCAGAGCACCTCCTGCCCGTGGCTCCAACCCAGTACACACCAGTTACTGCTTCCCTTGATTGCGTGGTCACAGAAGATAACCCCAAACCAAGCCACTTGTGTCACAAGTATGAGGCCACACAAGGTGCCAGATGCAGTGTGGATGGCTCCATGCTGACTGTCACCCCCTAGCCTGTATCCTGATAGTAAGTGAATAGCAGCCATCTTCAAAACTGGCAGAATTTCCAGAGACCCAAGCATCAAACAAGGCCCTTTTCCCTACATACAGCTACAGCCCTACATACAGGGCACCAAAAAATGCAGGCATATAAACTCTTACCTGACTCAGGACCTGCCTCTGTGATACCCACAGAACCCATCCTAAGCCAATGAACTCCCAGCATGGGTGAGTAAGGCCTGGCAACCTAGCAATAGGTCAGAGACCAGCCCCCAGCAACCCAGCCAGATCCTAAGCCCTTCCAGGTCAGTGGCAAATGCTCAGGGCCTCTTTCCTCCTATGGCAGACAGTGCTAATCAAACCCAGCACTCATGGATGTAGCCTCAGAATCTTTCTCAACACAGTGTTCCTGGAAAAAGCCACGAGCAGACTGGAGTTGGGATGTGAAAACAAGGGTAGCTATCACCCTTCCAGTCCATCCTGGAGGAGTATGGATGATCCACCTGAGCCAGGTGTGGAAGCCGGAGGAACCAGGCACACACGGGCTTCTGGGGCTAGAACAAGAGGCCACCTCCAGCAGGGAGAACCACCACCTCAGGGAACTTTTCTCAAACCAGCTTTGAACCCAAGTCACAAAAGGCCAAGCACCTTGAGCGAGAAGGCGGGTGAGGACTGGCACCACCTCCTGGCAGCTCCCCGGGCCTTGCCAGGGCACCCTGGCTGCGCCCGGCCCCTCACCTGGATCTGCCCTTTGCCCATGATCTTGTCCACGATCTCGTTGTTGTCTTTGTTGACCTTGGTCTTGTCATAGCACTTCTCGTAGCACAGGATCCTCAGGGACTGAGAGCCCTCCAGCTCAATCTCGAACTCCTGGGGAAAGAGGGACGAGGGGCCTGAACCTCCAAAGCAGGGAGACACGGCCTCCTGGCAGGTGTGGGGCCCGACTTTGCAAGGGTGAGAAGGGGGCAAGGAGGGCCACGTCATGAGGCGTGGAGAAGTGTCGTCATTTTCTGAAGCTCCAGAGGCCCCCAAATCACTGATGAGGTGGAGTTTGGGGCCTGAGTGGAAACCCCACGTCTAGACACAAATCCTGTGGTCAGAAGCCAAATGAGTAGGGAGCGGAGGGCAGAGGGGTTTGAGGACTGAGCTGGCCCCACCAACAGGCTCAGCCATCTCCAGCCAATGGGACACAGGGAGTGGGGTGGGCACGGTCGTGACACGCTCAGGGGCCCCTGCGGGGACACCAGCCTCCTCACTTACCTCGTCCCACTTGGGCTCTGCCGTGTCTCGGAACACCCTGGTTTTGGCTTTGCTGACAAAATAGCCAAAGGAATCCACCTCCAGGGTACAGTACAGGTCTGCGGGGGGACAGGCAGAGACACGCTGAGTGAGGCCCGAGGCCCGGAACCCAGGAGGCAAAGGAGATAAGGCATCTGTCCCTCCTGACATCCCGTGGGCCACACTCAGGTTGCCCTACCTACAGCCCCGCGAGTCTGGCCCCTTTCCATTTCTCTGCCCTCTCCGCCTCACTCACCACCCTCCAGCCACGGGGGTCTCTTCCCTCCAACGCGCCCAGCTGCTCCCACCTTAGGGTCCTCACCATCCCTTTGTCCCTGATCTCTGCATGGCTGCCTCCTCACCACGAGGCCTCATGCCAAGGCCCTCACTGCCCACGCTGACTAAAGGAGCCCTTCCGACCCCCATCGCGAGCTCCTCAACAGGGAGTCACTGGGATGTGAGGTGGGAGTCACTGGAGGGCATCTGGCCTCTGGATGCTGAAAGCCTGGAGTAACCCCCCGTCACTGCGACAACCAAGAATGCCCCCCTATGCCAAAAGCTCAGTTTGTTGTTGTTTTCCTCATAGCACTTAACTTTAACTCAAGTTATCTTTTCCATCTGTGTGTCTTTTGTCTCCTGTCCCTCCATTATGTCAACACCACACAGGCAGAAGCCTTGTTTTCTTGGCCACCAGCGTACCCTGGGTGCCAAGAACAGGGCTTGGGACACAGTAGGCACACAGTAGGCACACAGTGAGTATTTGTGGGATGAATGAGTGAAGCTCTTACCGCCCCCAAGCGCTTCAGGTAACACAGGGGCAGAGGGCTGAGGGCAGGGAGTAGGTGGGGGTGGGGAGCTTCCTCTAGTGTTTCCATCTTGAACCACGGGACTTTAAGGCTGAAAAAACCCCTCTACCCTGAGACCCAACTGAGGAGCCCACAGCACTGGGTGGTCACCCTAGGCACTCGCAAATTCACACGCTCCTCTGGGGCTCAGACCCTGGCAGCCTTCCCCCTCTGTGGGAGCTGCCCAGGTTGTTTCCCAGGGTAATGGTGTGTGTTGGGGGTGGCTTTGGGGCACTACAGCCAATCCTTTGCAGTGTGAATCAAGGGGCAAGGGGCAGAGGTCAGAGGGTGGACATACATGCCCCTCCCAGACCTCAGGAGTTGCCCAGCTGGGCTGTTCTCTGTCAGAGGGCTTTCCTGCAGAGGGAGAGTGGACAGCGCTGCCCCAGGTTGTCTCCAGCTGGTGACGTAGACTCGATATCACCGGTATCAGAGCACGCGGGGATGTGGGTGCGGATAACAGGTGAACAATGCCAGAGGTCAAAGCACCCTGGCCTCTGCCGGATCAGAGAGCAGTCTGGGTAGCTGAGAGATGGAGGGACATGAAGTGCCGTCACCATTTATTGATTTTGGTGTGAATGAACCCTCTGTCAGGGGCCTGGGGATAGTTCATGGGATAAACGGGAGGGCTCTGGAGTCAGACAATCTGGGTTCAAATCCCAGCTCTGCACAATCACCCAACTCTCTGCCTTAGTGCTTCCACCTGTAATGCAGGCATAACAATGGTGCCCACACCCTAGGCCTTACTGCACAGCCACATGAGTTTACTAGGACAAGAAGCCATGGTCGAAGACTCATGGGGCCTAAACCTCTCCCGAGTCAGACTGAACATCTGAGCGGGTCAGGGGGCCGGTGGAGTGGGAGGTGAAGACAATCTGGAGGTGAGGAGAGATTCTGCAGCAGCTCACCCCATGTCTACCCACCCGACCCAGTGTGGGAGGTAGAACATCCTACTCTGTGGAGTGGGACACTCCACCCCAATGGGCCTGCTCCCTGAGCCCCAACAGGAAGCAGGGGGTGGGGGGGTGAGACATCTGGGCACCGTGGAGATGGGAGGCCCCTGGTCCAGTTGAATGCGTTGCAGACTTGGGGGTGTGCAGCAGCCCTACAGAGCTCACTAACCAGGAACATTCCTGGGCAGCACCCCCAGGAGGGGATTCCATGGGTCTGGGGAGGGTCCAGGAAGCTGCCACGTGTATCAGCAGCACAGCCCAGTGATGAGTGCGGTGGTCCCGCCACACTGAAAGAAACACCGCTCTAAAGGGAAAAGCGTGGGCTCTGGTGTTGGAAGACACGGATTCTACTCCTCCACCTGTCCCTTGAGCCCTCTGGGCCTCAGCTTCTTCGTGTATAAAACAGGAAGGATAGCAGTGGCCTCAGAGGGATGCCAGGAGGATCAGAGCAGCTGATGCACCTGGAAGGGCTTTGACTGTGCCGAGGCATGGTCCACGTGCTGGCCAAACTGCTGTTTCCTCCAGCACCTCGTAAGGCACCCAGGCACACAGGGGCCATCTGGAAAGGAACTACTGCGTCCAGCATTTCTGAGCTCCTATTCATCCAAGGATAAGGAGACACAGTTCCTGCCCTCCAAGAAGTCACAGTGGGGGAGGCAAAGTTTAAGGGACAAAGCAGTAGGACAGGTGCTATAAGCACAGTTTGCCCTAGGGTGACGGGAACACAGGGAGGGGAGGCCGATTCACCCCAGGAACCGAGGCTTCGCCGTCCATGTCTATTGAACGGCTGTTTGCGAGCCAGCAGTGTAACCTCTGTGTGGCGCACGGCAGGGAGAGAGGCAAAAGGCAGACCTCATCCGCCAGAGAGGAAGGGCAGGCTGACGGGAGAGGAGTCAGGAGCCCTGGGTTTCTGATCCCGGGGGATGTTAAGTCCTTTTATCTGTGACTCAGTTTTCTCATTTGGCAAACGGGGAGAAACTATTAGCTGTCTGACTGACTCAAAAATTCCTACGGGGAGAAAAAGTCAATAAAGAGTGTAATTGTATCTTATGAAACACTAAAAATTGCACAGAGTTAGTAGATGGTGATAAAGGGAGAAAAAGGGATGTGTGCGGCAGTGTGCTGATGCTGCACATACACGGTCATATTTAAGCCTGCTCTTAGGTCAGTGTTAACAAGTGTGATTGCCTTTTATGGAGAAAGAAGCTGAGGCTCAGAGAGGTTAAGACACTTGCTCAAGGTTACACAGCTTGGAAGCAGCAGTTGTAGGGCTGGAGTCCAGGATTTCAGACACTGGGGGGTGGGGGAGGGCTTGGGGAAGAGCAGACCTTGGAGACAAAGGGCAGGGACCACCCCCCTGCCAGGAGGAGCTGGTTCCTGGCTTTTGGGGGAATGCCCACATCTCAAGGCAGCTGGCAGGGCCCAGCCTGGGAAGACCAGAGCCGAGCAGTGGGGCAGCGGGAGGCCCCACGCAATGGGTCCACAGGGACTTTCTGTGAGAGGATGAACGGTGGCTCCCCCAGCCTCTTCCGAGGGCTGGTGGTCAGGGGCACTTACTGGCTGACTGCTTAAACCCCTTGGCAGAGTGGACGATGACATGGAGGAAGCCGTAGAGTCCCGGAGACTCATCGTCTGCAAGAGAGGAAAGCCCCAAGGGAGGAGGTGACGAGAGGCTTCATCCCCTCCCAGCCTGGCGGGAGGCAGAAAGGGAGTACGACAGTCTGAGCCTTGGTCTGACGGCACCATCTGGTGGCTGGATGAAGAAGTTTCCAGAGCCCACTGCTTCCCGGAATGTGAGCTGGTGCCTTCTCCCTCCAGTCAGCCTGGGAGGCCAGCTCACACCTTCCCTCCTGGGCCAGGGATTTGGATCCCTTCCCCAGGGCACTTTCCCTCCCGCACTGAATCCTGCCTCTCCCCTGGCTGTCCCCCTCAGTCTAGCCTTTCAGAGTGAAAATTAACCAAGGTAAGTCACTCTGTGCCAGTGGGAGAGAGACGGTCCAGCTCTGCCTGCTCTTTGGGACACAGCGGGCAGACGACCCCCATCTGTGGAGGAAAGCTCACCTTCAAACCCCCTTCCCCAGGGTGGACCATTCCCAGCAGCCAAGGGCAGCCAGATTCTACCCACTCTAGGCCAGTTACCAGCCCCGATCGTAGCTCTCCTCTGCTCAAAAACCTCCCATAGGCTCCTCAGCTTGAACAAACTCCTTTCAAGGCTTCTAAGATCTGGTCCCTGGAAACTTCTGGCCTTATTTTTCATTCGCTACTCTAATCCTTCTCCCCTTCCCACCACTACCGCCCTGCACCATGCTGCAGTCTTGCTTCCATTATCTGACTACCTTATGAACATATTAGCAACATGATCCCAGTGCACCAGGGTGCCAGATTCTTCTCTCAAGCCAGAGGGGGCTGGGGAGGAGTTGGGGCCATCCGGGGACTCAGTAGAGAACAACCCCTATTCAAGCTCTCTGTGGACCTGACAACTGAGGCTTACCAGCCCAGCCAAGCAGAAATCAGCCATTTGTAGCCAAGGGTCTTGCTAGGTCCTTCTGGAAGGCCCCAGCCATGCCCTGGGGGCTTGAACCTGCTGACTGGGCAAGCTCGGATTCCAGATCTTACCATCTTTATTGCTGGTGACAGGAATGTTGTGTACAGTCCTAAGTTTGAAACAGGATCCCGTGAGCACCTGGAGCTCCACTGAGCTCAGGACAAAGGCCTGGAGATCTGCAGGAGGAGCCAAGAGAGAGGGGAACATCATCACAGGTCCACTAGGACCTGCTGCTCTTCCTTGGGGGCTACTGCAGGAAAAAAGCTAAGCTCTAGGGGCAGAGTTGGTCATTGGAAGGAAGGGAAAGACTTGTAGACATTCACATGGGGACAGTCATGGGTGCTGTCAGAGGGGTAAGAATGGGAGAGTAACTGAAGAGGCTCATGTATGTGTGTAGGAGACAGCGAGAGTGAGTGAGAGATGGACAACCCTGGGCTCTGGGTCCAGTCCTATTGCTAAATTGCTGCATGCCTTAAGCAAATCACTTAAATTCTTTGGGCCTCAATTGATCAGTAACATCAATTAAGTGCCACTTGCCCTGGCACTTTATAGAGTGACAGTGAGGGTCGAAAAGATATTAGACATGAAAGTGCTTGAAAAAAAGGCCCATCGTTGCTATGGACACCATCACGGCAGTGTAGAGCGGGACAGGACTTTACCCTTCTTCTGTAGTTTCTGAATCGCTTCTCTCCACTCTGACCTCTCATAGTCCGAGGACAGTAGGAACAGATAGCTCTGAAGAGAGGAGACGAGAAGTCAGTGGGGTGAGCAGTCAGGCCAACTACATTCCTGGATTCCAGGGCCCCCAACAAATCTCCTTCTCACCCAGGCACCACTAGGCTTAGAGAAGAAGGCAGCTGGGAGGACAGCCTCCTTCCTGGGAAGCCTGGTGACAGGAGTGGTGGTGCCAGTAATGGCCAGCAGAGGGCGCTAGCTCCATACCAGTGGGGAGAGGGAGTTCAGGGCTGGAGCCATGGCAGCCTCATTGGGAACTGGGGACCTGAGTCCCTGATTCCCACAGGTCAGGGCCAGGAGCCATAGAGAGTGGGCAGCCCTGGACTGAGGAAGGGGCTATCTCGGTCCCATCCCCACCCTTCCTGACCTTTCCATTCCGATTGTGGATCCGAAACGGGATTGTGGGGGAATTGAGCAGCAGCAAGAACTCATTCTCAAACATCTTCTTTTTCAGGCGCTCGATGGCCCGGCTCTGTCCTTTGTTGGCTTTCTGCAAGGGACAAAGAGCACAGATGGCTTCCCTCTTCTCACCCTGCAGCTCTCAGCACAACATGCCCCTGTGTATTAATCACGGTTTTTTCTTTTTCTATATTTTATGATGCTTTGACATCTTGGGGGGCCTAACTCGCCAGGGAGAAAACTGCCCCTTCCAGAGTCAGCTAATTCCCAAGAGAGCAAATGACTCCTCTGCGAGTGGACCTTTCATATGTAAACCAACCAATCCTGGGTTCACAAACCACCCCCCACCTCCTTTATCTAACTACACACACCACACCTCTGCCCGAAGTCACCCAGGGCCAAGACAACTAGAGATGGCCTCTCCAGACCAAGCCTGCTGATGTTTCCCAAACTAACCAGTCCTAAGCTTTTGCCCCTGCCCTACCTTCCTTTCCCACAGAACACACAACACAGGCTCTGGGCCATGATTCCCCCAATGCTCCTCCTGTCTCCTGACCAAACCTGGTGCTTCCCCTGTGGCCCTGCGTGGTGTGATGTGTCTCTTCTTTTGGAAACTATAAGTAATAAAAATCTTCTTGCAGTGGCATTAGCCTCTCCACGTCACCACTGAGTCACCTCTATAAATTAAATCCCAGGTATCATTGAGACACCGTGTTTAAAAACCACAGACACCTTACAGCATAAAGCCCGATTCCCGGCCTGGCACACGGGGCCTCTCCAGGCTGGGTCCAGCCTCCACACCCAGCCTGATATCCCACCACGCCCCACCCTGCACCCTCCGCTTCATTCCCATGGGATCATTCCCCATTCTCTAACAAGTCACTGCCTCTCGACCAGTATCCCCTTCTCCTCCAATCTTTCAAGTTTATGTTTTATAAAGGACCCCCTCTATTCTGCTTCAAGCCTCAGTGCCAACACCATCCTCAAGTTCCTCAGGTGGAAGTCACCTCTGCAGCATGTTCCCACCCACTAGATGGGCAAAACTTTGGCCTCTCACACACGCTGGTGGGAACATGATTGGATGCAACCTTTTTGGAAGTAAATCTGGCAATTAACTGCACAAGCACCCTGCCCCAGACATCCCACGTGCAGGGAATCTCCCAGAGAGAATACAGTGCAGTGATGTTTACTGCAGACCTGCCTGTTAAGCGTAAAGAACCAGAAACAATCTCAACATCCAAATACGTCACTGTACAGTCAAGCCACAGAATAGGATGCAGCTGTCAAAAAGAATCTGCTAGATCCAGGGAGCTCTAAGGCACACTGTTAAGTGAAAAGCTTAACTTGCAAAATGGCACATGTAGTCTAGTCTCATTTAAAAAGACAAAAAACATATATACACACACACACACCAGTATAAGCATAGAAGAGTCTAGAAGAATACACCTCAAACTGTTAACAACAGGAGATGGGTGAGGATCAGTTGTATTTTGTACACCTCAGTATTGTATTTCTCGTTCTATAACAAGCCAGTGTTACATTGGTGATTGGAAAAAAAATTATAAGTTTAAAAAACTATTATTAAAAGAATAAATCATCGCTGCTTCTGTGACTCAGAGTGACACTGTGCCTCTCCAGCGACTCTCATCACATTGTATCCCACACGGTGGTCCATAACGGGCATGTCTGCCTTTTCTATTGGACAACAAACACTAGGAGGCACTTGGCACGGCCCTGCAGGTCGCAGCCAGTGGAGCTCAGACAGCAATTTTTTTTTTTTTTTTTTTCTTTTTTGCTGAGGAAGTCTCGCCCTGAGCTAACATCTGTGCCAATCTTCCTCTATTTTGTATGTGGGTCACCACCACAGTGTGGCTGATGAGTGTTGTAGGTCTATGCCCGGGATCCAAACCTGTGAACCCAGACCACCGAAGCAGAGCACACTGAACCTTAACCACTATGCCACAGAGCCAGCCCCAGAAAGCACTGATTTGACTGAGCAGAAGGCTATGTCTACACATATGTCTGCACACCTGGGGCAGGAGGGAGGGCACAAAGCCCACTGGCTCCCAGGACCAGGTGAGAAACACGCATGCAGGATGCCCCTGGGGTGGGGATGGTGGGCAGTGCCAGATGGGGAATAGGCTCAGCTGAGGCAGAGTGGGGCGTGGTGTTCAGTAGGAGGACACCTGTGCTGGTCAGGGTGCTCCCTCTGGGCAGATGCACCTCCAGTTGGACCCCCAATCCCAGGACATCCCCCTGCCCCAAACATTCCTGAGGTTATCACTGTGGTCTTCTTCTCCTTCAAACAGAGATGTCCAAGCTGAGGGGATCCTTAGAGGCCACCCAGTGATGTATTCCTCAACAATCGGTCACGGAGCGCCTATTCATTATGTGCTAAGGACTGGGGACATAATGCTGAAGAAAACAGCCCTCAGTAGAGTTCAGATTCTAGTGGGGAAAAGAGAAAGCTGACTGTGCAATGATAATTCAGTACCATTACAGCAAAGCAAAAGGTAAAACATCAGGAACCAGGAAGCAGGGCACCCAACCCAGACTGCAGAGGGTGGACATCAGGGAAGGCTCCTCAGGGGAGGTGAGGCCTCAGCTGAGCCTGGATAGGTGAGGAAGAGAGACCAGGCCAACCAACCAAGCCCCTCCCTGCCTTTCCTGCCATTCATGGGGAAGGCGCCTCCTGCAGTGCTTTCCTCTAGCCACTGTCTTCAAATAGATGAATTTAAGGCTACACATTTTCCTCTAAATAGCGCCTTGGCTACATCCCGTGGGTTTCTGTAAGGCTACACATTTTCCTCTAAATAGCGCTTTGGCTACATCCCGTGGGTTTCTGTAAGGCTACACATTTTCCTCTAAATAGCGCTTTGGCTACATCCCGTGGGTTTCTGTAAGGCTACACATTTTCCTCTAAATAGCGCTTTGGCTACATCCCATGGGTTTTTGTATGTAGCGCTCTCATCTTCATGCAGTTCTAAACAGTCTGCAGTTTCCATTTTCATTTCCTCTTTACCATGAAAGTTTTAACTTTCCAGGCATATTCTTAACTATATTCTAGTTGTTGATTTCTAATTCTGCTGCACTGTGGTCTGTGAACATGACCAGTATGCTACCAATTTTTTTTTTAAAAATTGAGATTTTCTTTGCAGCCTAAAACATGATAAACGCCTGTGAATGTTCCATGTGTGTTTGACAAGAATCTCAGTCCTCTGTCAGGCCCAAGCTTCTGTGCATTTTTATTTATTTACTTATGGTTTTTTTTTTGATAAGGAAGATTGGCTCTGAGCTAGCATCTGTTGCCAATCTTTCTCTTTTTGCTTGAGGAAGATTGTCCCTGCTAAGATCTGTGCCAATCTTCCTCTATTTTCTATGTGGCATGCCTCCACAGTATGGTTTGACGAGTGGTGTTTTGGTCCATGCCTGGGATCCGAACCTGTGAACCCCGGGCCGCCAAAGCAGAGCGCGTGAACTTAACTACTATGCCACCAGGCCAGCCCCTCTGTGCATTTTTAGATCAAGCACATTAATTGTGATAGTCAAGGCCCCTCTTTCCTTATTTATTTGCCTACTTGATCTGTCAGTTTCTGAGAGGCCTCCCAGGTCTTTTCTCTTACACACATCCTGCTTTTCCTTAAGAATGTCTTCTTCTCTTGCTTTCCTTTTCTACAGTGTTTGACATACACTGTTCTCCAGGAAACTTCCCATAATTAACCCCACTAAATTCTGAGCACTGACTCCTTGGCCTGCCCTCCATCTGCTCAGTTACTCTGCCATGGTCAGTCTTTCCCTGAGCATGTATATGCTGGAGGCCTCCCACTGTTGCATTCTGCCTCTGTTATCAGATTCCCAAACCTGACAACTTTCTCTCCCTCCACCTCCCCGGCACACCCAGTTCAAAGGGCCCCAATAAAAATGGCCAACTTCCTGTCCAGCTCAGATGCCAGGCTCTGCTCACCTCCTTCTGGATTTCACTCTTGAGGGCGGAGATCTTCATCTTCATGTCCTCCAGCTCATGGTCTGGGAAGGGGTGCACCTGGGGGCTGGCCTCAGACTCCTCAGGGGATGGAAACACTAGGTCGGCCAGGGGGATGTACCATTTGCAGTCATATTGTTGGTGCTTCCTGCAAACAAGCCAGAGGGAGACACGAGTCAGAGGGAAATTGGCTTTTTAAGCCTGAACTGCTGGAACCAAAAAACCGCCTGAAAGGGATTTACAAGAACTCATCACAGGCAAGAATAATCCCTGTCCTTGAGGAGCCCGATGAAGAAACACACATGTGGAGCAATGACAGTCGGGTTCTAGGGTCAGCCAGCAGCGGGGGTTCTGGCCCTTTGCCTCCCAGTCTTTGGCCCATTACAACTGATGTTTTTTTTTTCTTTTTGGTGAGGAGGATTCGCCCTGAGCTAACATCTGTGCCAATCTTCCTCCATTTTGTATGTGGGATGCCTGCGACAGCATGGTTTGATGAGCGGTGTGTAGGTCTCTGCCTGGGATCCAAACCTGCGAACCCCGGGCCGCTGAAGTGGAGTGTGCAAACCCAACCATTACACCACCAGGCTGGCCCCACAACTGATGTTTTTAAACATCTCAAATCTCTAGGGGAAGAGCAAGAGTGGGCTCACGCTTTCCTATTCCCCATCCCACACTCCCTCCTCCCTTCTAGCCTATCCAGACCTAGCTTATATTCACTATCCTTTAGGCTAGAGATGGAATACAAATGTTATTTTGAATGCCAACTCTGATCAATAGATGTCCCCTGGGGTACTGGGTCGAGGATTATAAAGCCACGTCCAAGCCTCGGTAGGAAATAGTGCTGCGGTTCATTAGTAATGTCTGCCATGGGCAAAGGACTAAAGGCAAAGGTATGTGTACTTATGATGCCATCTCTGCCTTAGAATGATCTCACACGTGATCTAGTTCCAGGGAGTCGTCCCTTTATCAAAGCTCATAATAGCCTCTCTTTCTCTCACCTCCCTCAGGACTTAGGTCTGCACCTCTCACCCTGGTCCCTTAGTGCTGCAGGGAACATATGGCTTGTCTCCCCTGGACTGTAAGGGAGTGAACTGGGCACACAGTAGGTGGTAAGGACATGTGGGTGGAAGGACATGTGGACATGTGATGAATACCGAATAATGTTTTCTGCTCACAGCACAGAGCAGATCCTTATCACTGGGTATAGAGAGGAGGTGGAAAGAGGCTTTCAAGTCAGATTAAAGTTCAAATCCTATCTCCTCCACATCTAGTTGTGCGACCTCGGGCAACTTACTTAGAAAAGTTAACTTTTCTAAGGCTTTTCTCTCATCTGTGAGGTGGGGATAATAATACCTACTTTGTGGAGTTGTTGGGAAGATTAGAAATAATATATTCAAAGCATTTGTCGTGGCACCTGGCATGGCATAAGTGCTCAATAAATGGTAGCAGCAGATTGAATGAATATTCACTGAATTGCAGTTAGCAAAAATTTAGAGATGTCTAATAAAAGGAGAATGCTCAAGTAAATGATGGCATATCCACTTGTAACATCATGCAGGAAAGTAAAATGATGACTATGAAGATTAGGCAGCAACAGGGAAAATGCTTATGACGTGGGTTGAAAAATGCAGAGCCCAAAATTGGGCATTCACTCTGATTACAAGTACATGAAAAAACAGAAGAACATTTAAGAAAACTGGAAGGAAATAGAGCAGGAGGAGACTGACGCTTATGTTCAGGGGGGTGATGGGTTTTTTTTCTGTAATTTGGTTATATTACCTTTATAATTAAAGACAAGATTTATTTTTAGAAAAAGGCTACGCAGTAAAATAAAATTAATTAATATATTTTTTAAAAGGAAAAAAAAAACGCAGATTGCCCCAGGTTGCTGGGGGGCTCCACAGCGGGGCAGGGTCTAGCTCCCTCCCGCCTTGCACCCTGGACTCACGCACACTCACCCTGCAGATGTCTTCTTGAGCTTGGCGCACAGTAGGACATCTGTAAAGAGGAAGACGTGCCGCAGCTTCCGGGAGCCCTCTGACACTTCCACCAGGAAGCCATCCTTCACCAGCTGTCGTGTCTGAGGGAGAGGGCACACCCACCCCCACCTGCTCAGGGGGAGTCAGCCCAGGGCCCAGCCTGCCCTGGGGGGCGCCATCTGGGGACGGGCTGCAGGGAGGGGCCATAGTGCTTGGTGGTTAAGAGCATTGGCTTTGGGGTCACACAGACACAGGCTTGAATTTCACTTTCTGGCTGTGATCTCGGGCAAGTTCTCTGACCTCTCTGAGCCTCAGTCTTATCATCTGTAAAACGGGGATAATGATGTCTGCCCCATAAAGTAGGACCGTCCAGATGGTATACGTAAAACAGTACAGTGCCTGGCGCATAATATGTGATCAATAAATGGCAGCTTGACACTTTCCCCGCAGCTCTCAACAGCTCCCACCTGGGTGGACCCTAGTCCAGGATGACTTGGTTCCTCCACGCTGGGGCAGGAACACCCCCAACTCTGCCTAAGAAGTTGACCTAGTTTCAGTCCAACCTTGGCCTGCAGCCCCACTCAGTCCTGTTTATGCTACCTATGAGTGGATTCTTCAACCACCCCGAGGTGGATGGAGACCCTGGGCTACCCTCCGTGGGGCCGTAGCTGTGTCCTGGGGGAACCTGCAGCCATCTCTAACCTGGGCTCTGGATGGTGAGAGCATTTTGCTCCATGTGGAACTTCCAGAGTCTCCTCCCTGCCACTCTCAGAGCCAGCTGGCTTCTCTGGGGCTGTCATAATCTGTCCCAGCCTTCCCTGTGTATGATACACTGTGTGACCTACCTATGTCGCAATAAGTTGGTGAGCATGTTGAAAGTAGACAATTAAAATGATCTGAGACTGACAGTGCTCTAAACCCTCTGGAGATCTTTCAGATATCCCAGAGTCAAACAAACGAGCGACATTCCAGGGCTTGCAAACCAGGGCTGGGAGTTGCACACAGGGACAGCTCTCTACGCCCCATTAGTCACTCTCCAGACCCTGTCCCTCATTATTTCCCTCCCCAGGAGACACTGGAGGCTCGTAAATGTAACAAAAGAGCATAAACCCAGCCAGCTTGCATTCCTAAATGCCACTTAATTACCTCTCCTGGACAGGAAGGCCTATATGTGGGCCAAGCTGCTGACCCACATGGATAACTGTCTCTCTGATTCTTCAAATTGCTTCCTCTCACTGGGGTACCCACCTTTCTACCAAGAAGGGCCCCCAGGGAACTGGAGCTGCTGTACCACACCTAGGCACCACCTGGGACATTACAGCAACCTGGCAGCCTCAGCCACCTCTCCTACCAGCCCTTCTTGCTGTCAGGCTCACTCCTAGCTCCTGCCCACCTGCTCATGCAGGCTGATCAGAGGCAGCTCAGAGCTCCCGCTCCCAGAGACTCCCCGAGCTCCCTCAGACTGAGCCATTATCTTTCAGGGGACTCTGAGGACATCATACTGCCCAGAGCAGGGGGTTTGCATTTAAGAATGAGATAGCCAGAGCCCCTGGCTTCTCGGTATGGGGACAATGCATGAGGCTTACAGACAGAGAAGCCTAGCTAAAGAATCTAGTTCCAACACTTATGGCCAAGAGACCTCGTGCCAGACCTGCAGAGACTCTCCAGGCCTCAGTTTCCTCTTCTGCCTCCGTGGATTATTATGAAGATTAATGTGACACTGGACTTAAAGCTCTCAGCCCAGGGCCTGAAGATCTCTCCCTAGCTGGGCACGGGGGATCAGGGTTGGAGAGGCACAGAGGACAGGGCAGCGGTGCCTGTGTGTGCAGGAGAGCAGGGATGGGTGGTCTGGTCCGCTGCACCCTCCTCAGCCTGGGGGAGGCTGTGCTGAGTCCTGAGCTCACCTCCCCCTTAGGGGTCGTGACTGCAGTCCGGCGGGGGTCAATGTCCTCATTGATGCTGGACAGGAAGTTCTGGGAGATACGGAGGGCATCCTGTAGCAGTGGGTAGTCTGGGTGGTCCACAGGTGTGTGCTTCAGCAGGTCCTGGGAAGAGATGAGGTGGTAAGTTGTGGGGAGCGGTTCTGGGGCTCAATGAGAAACAGTGGGGAATACTCAATCCTCACCAAAGGGATTCCGAGCAGGGGCCTCAGGGACCCACACTCTAATCTGGCCAGGCCTGTAGAATCTGAACCAAAGATTACGGTCAGAGCAGAGGGGTGAGGGCAGTGGTGCCCCTTTATTCCTCCTGAAGTCATTACTCTTCCCCGTGGCGGGGGAGCCAGGTAGAGTCTCATCTCACCAGGCAGCTGGGGAGACAGCCCTCTACCCACCCCGCAGCTGCTCCAAGGACACTGGAGACCGTCAGGCAAGGGAAGTGTCTGCCTCCTAGGGAGCATCTGGCCAAATGTCAAGCTTAGTGGCCAAGCTATATTTAGGCCCTGGGCCCGTTGGCATGGTTACCGCAGGCCAGGCAGGCGCAGTTGGGGTGCAGGGACCCTCTGCCCAGCTCCCCAAATGGGCTATTCTCAGTGACGCCAGCACCCTCCACCCTAAGCTCATTCTCCCACCGAACTCCTAACCCCTCCCTGGCCAATCAGGGGGCTGACACTCACGTGTAGGACCAGGGTGCTCCTGGTGACTCGGTCAATGGGCTTGTAGAGCAGAGCTGTTGGGCAAGGCAGGGAGGAGACAGGACAGATGAAATATGGGAGCAGACAGAGACCTCAGAGTCCAGCCTTATGCCCCGACTTGCCTCACTTCCCCACACGGACACCCACTTGCAGGAAGCCAGAGCAGGTTCTGCAGCAACTCACACCTCCATTCTCCCTCCAGGCCAGGCCAGAAAACACCAACAGGCGACAAGCAGCTCTGGCAGCCCAGGCCCCTCCCACCTGCCCCCTCATCTGATCTCCCACCAGAGGTGACTTCTTTGAGGGCCATCCCGCAGGCCTGTCCTAGCCTGCAGGCTCAGAGTGAATGCAGCTGCTCCTCTGTACCCCCGACCCTGAATCACACAGCCACGCCTTGCCTTACCCCGCAAGAGCTCCAGTGCACCTGGGACCCCAGAATGCAGCAGGGAGACATGCTGTTTTTCTGAGAAGGGTGGCTCTCCCATGCCTGATCATCCTCATAGCCCTCTGGTCCAAGGCCTGGCATCGCCCGCTGGGAAGGGCAGGCTTTGTTCTGATCCACACAGCCAGCCTCATCTCCATGAGAAGACCTTGCTCCACGCCCTCAAACCCCGAAACAAAATAGGACAGGCTGAGGGCCAGGGAGGCAGGCCAGGTCTCCACAGAAAGACTCTGCCCTCAAGCAAGTGGCAGCTGAAGGAGCAAAGATTTCCTGAAGGAATTCAGGCGGGGCCTCTGGGAGGCTGGGAAAATGCAACTCAGCAGGGGCCCCGTTTGCCACACCCCTTGGCAACCAGAACACCAAATGAGGATTGCTGGGATTCGGCAGGGACAGGTGGAGGCAGCTGCTGGCCGACCAACACTTCCTGCAAGCAACTGTTCCCCGCCCCTCCCTCAGCCTCAGTCCTGCATCTGGACGCCTCTGTCTATGGGGTCATGACCTCTGTCCTTCTGCCATAGGAGCAGTAAGAGGCAGGATGCTGGTCTGGGGAGGAGGACCCTAGACTGTGTGTCCCATCGGACCAGGTTGTGACAGGTCTCAGAGCTGACACTCATGCCCTAGCCAGCCCCCAAATCCCGAAGCCCTAGATGTAAATCTCCTGTGCATAGCTAAGCAGATACTTTGGGGAACAATCTGCTGGCTACAGAGAAGATGCAGTCTCAGTGGTGTGCCACGAGCCGTATCTGCAGTCTGCTTGGCTGCCCATTAGAAGCACTGGGGGAGCTCTTAAAAGATACAGCTGCCTGCCCCTTTCCCCACCCCATCAACTAAATCCCAATCTGCGGCGTAGAACCCGGGTATCGGCATTGTGAAAAAGCTCCTTTGCTGATTCTGATACAAAGTAATGATTGAAAACCACTGCTTTATGCAAACATACTTCCCACGACTTATCTGTAGTGCTTTCTTAATTTACGAATTTCTACAGACCCTCCCCATGGGCTGTGGGAGCTGGAACGGACAGGACGACGCTGGGGGTATCCTAGGACAGTGAGGGTAGAGCCCAGCTACCAGCCCGGGGGGGGCCCAGCACTGAGGCTGTTTAGGGTACCCACCTGTGGCTTAGCTCATCTTTAGGGGGAAAAAAATCACACCCGGAGAACCTCAGAGACCCAGGAGAAAGTGCGAGGGCAGCAGACACCTGCTGGGTGGGCCCTCGAGTTCCAGCCTGGGAAAGCTGATACTGCAGTGTCAGCTCCCTGCGTCCCTCTCTCGGGTCCCAGGAGGAAGAGGTTTCTGACTGAGCTCAGAGATCTGCACAAAGGGTAGGTTGGGTTTCAGAGGGGTTATTAATATGCCTGGAGTCACCTCAGGAGGCCACCTGATAGGGTCTGCGGAACCTCAGCCCCAGATGGGGGAGGGCAGCTGGAGGAGAAGTGGGGGAGGGAAATGCAGGGAGAGGGCCCTGATACGGAGAACCAGGGGAGGAAGAGAGAACCCGACGTTCCCCATGGGGGTGTCCCCACGGCCCCTGCACGCCGGCTTCCCCTAAGAATGCAGGGTGAAGAGCCCACCTGTCCCCCTCACCTGTTCCTGCCCCTTCACCTGTTCCACGGCTCCGGCAGACTGGCCTGCTCCTGCCCCTGCTTCCCCTACTCTCCCCACCCCTCACCATGCCGGTCCTCCAGGCCAAGGGCCTGTTTCACGAAGACTAAGCTTCCTGGGACAGACACTATTCACCAAGTTGCAACGCCCGTCTCTCCTCCTCCTCCAGGAAGCCTTCCCTGACCAAGACGTTTGCAAACAACACCCACCATGCCTACAAGTCAGACCCCTGACACGAGCAAGCTGGCCTCTCTCTAGTTCGCTGGGTACTTACTCTGTGTCCAACGGCACTGTTTGACAAGTGTTATTTCCTTTGATTAAAAAGGGAAGCAATTATCACTAGCCCCATTTTACAGATAAGGAAACTTCTCTAAGGCACAGAGAAGTTATGTAACTTGCTCACAATCACAAAGCTGTAAGTGGCAGCTGGGTTTGAATTTAGATCTACCCATGCTCCTAACTTTGAGCAGCTCTTCCGTAGGGGAAGGCAGCTCCTGCCGAAGCTCAACAACCCTCAGGAGGATTCTCAGAAAGATTCCCCAGGAAGGAGTAGGTGAGCTGGCCTCTCTTGTTGCCAAGGTGAGCCCCCTCCTTAGGGGCCTGGGTCACCCACGACTTCCCTTTGCATCCCCCTAGCATTTGGCACGGAGCCCAGAGCCTGGCAGAATGAGCGCTCAGAAAATAACCATTAAGGCTGACAACTCCAGATTGAGCCCCCAGTTGCGCAGCCTCCGGGGACCCCCAGAACCAGCATCCCTTGGACGGGCTGAGAAGATTCTAAACAGAGTGGTCAGCCAGGGCTCATTCACTCCTCACTACCCCTCCGAAGCTGACTTCAAAGAAAGCATCGCAGGGACCAAAGAAACCTCAAACTCCAGGCCAAGGGCCTGTTTCACGAAGACTAAGCTTCCTTTCGGGGAGAGAAGAGGAAGCAAAGTGCCAAGCTCGTTTCCTTTTTTAGGGAGGCAGAGTTGAGTCGACCAACTCCCAGGCCAGACCAAAAAGAGCATGTCCTCTCTGATCTTCAAACAGACCAATTTCCAGTCCAGCTCTCCTCCGGACCCCAGCCGTCAGGATCTGAACTGAGGGCCAGGGGCACAGGGCAGCTTCTGCCCAGCCACTCAAGTTCCCACAGCTGTCCTGCTGGGGTGGCTGGAGCAGCTGCCTCAGGGGTTCCCTCCATCACGCGTGGTCTCTGACACAGGACAGGCTGAGGAGGTGAGGGGACAACAGCCCCTCGGGCACAATGGCCTCTGGGAAAGAGCCCAGGAAACATCATCATCTCTCCTCCAGCAAACTGCCACCCCCCTGCATTCAGCCTTAGACTAGGAGCTCCAGGTTACCACGGAGATGGGAAAGCAAAGTGACTGGGAAGGGTGCGGAACAAAACGCCTGCGGGGAAGGAAGAAGGTCCTAAAACCAGCCGTCTGCCACTCCAAGGGCCCAGAGCAGCTGGCCTGAAGGCAACACTTGACCCCACACGCCCGCGAAAGGCAGCGTGGGTCATCCCCAGCGCTCTTTGCCTCAGAGAGCAGGGCCCCCCGGCTTCTGGACACCTCCTGGCCTAGGTCTGCTTCAGCCTCCCCTGAGCAACAGGCTGGCTGACAGCATGTGCCTGTCCCAGGACCCCCTCACTGAGGAAGCTACAGAGGGGCCCAGACCCTTCCATTGTACGGTGGGTGTGTGACCTTCACAAAGCAGCGGCCTGCCACGCCCCCCTCTCCTGCCAGCACTCACCGCCGACCTTCCGCGCTAAGTGCCAAGACTCGAGAGTCTCCAGTGGCCAGAAACAAACCCCTCAGAGCACCCCAATGCCTTCCTGCTCTCCCAGCCGCATCCACATTCCCCCACAGCCGCCGTTCTGAGAGGAGAGAATGTGGTGAAGGCGGCATGAGCACTCTGAGCACACAATACCCTGGCCGCCCAACCTCCTCTCCTCTCTCCCGAAACAAAGAAACTCCCAACTTCTCCCTCCAGCCGGGGCTGGCGCCTTCTGGGTCCAAGGCACTACTCTCCAGGCCATCTGTCACTCTCTGACTGGCCCCTGCTGACCCTTCTCCAGCCCCAGGTTGCCACGCCTGCAGGTACAGCCTTGTCACTTTCCTTAACAGCCTCTCCAGGAAGTTGCCCACAGCCTCTCAAGCTAAGCCACCAATTCCCCATAGATCCTCGGGGCTACCTGGACCCTTCTAGCCTGGTCCTTCTATTTCCAAGCCACCCTGCCCGGAGCGGACCCCAGACTTCAACTCTAGGCTGGAAGCTGACTGGAACGGGGGTAAACGCAGATCCAGCCACCTGTTCCCCCTCCCTTCTCTGCTGCCCCCCAAACCTTGATGGCTACATTTAAGCCCACTCTAGCCAGCCCCCAGAGGCGGGAAGATACACCACCTCCCAAACGAAGGGGGCCTGGGTTACCATAGGTGCAGTTACAGCAGAAGCGAATGATGAGGAGAATTTCCATGGCAGCCTCCGTCCCTGTGGCAGGAGCATGTGGCCATCGCTCCCTGGCTCCCATCAGCAGCCCGGCCACTCAGGCACCTTGCCGGCTGCTGCTGCACAGCCTCCAGAATCAAGCAGCGGCTTCCGAGTGCTCCTCTAGCAAGGGGGAGGGGAGGGGAGGGGAGGGGAGGCGCGTGGAGAGGCGGGAGGAGGGAGAAGGAGGACGGGAGCGAGCCGCCTGCTGGCATCCTAAGAAGGAGCACGTTTGTAGCTGGCCAGCTGCCTGGGGACAGAGGCTGGATTCCTGGCGTGTGTGTGCTCACACACACTCACACATGCACACGCACATGCTCACACAAGCAGGGCACCGTAGCCCACAGAGCCAGACAAAGGAAGGTGACTGCTATCCAGCCGTTCCCCAGAGTACCTTCCATGGTGACTGACGTGTGGCTGTCCTTGGAGTCCTTGGGACCTTTCACTTTGAGCTCCTGCCAAACAGAGGAGAGGAATCACTTCCTGGTCTGTCCCTAAGCCTCCCCATCCCCCACGGTGAGCATGGCAGGAAGAAGGGCTCTGAGACCCAGGGGTGCACATACAAGAAGAGAGACCAAGACCAAGGGACACAGGCCTCCCTCTGCCTCATCACCTCCCTGTGCCACACCCACGACCTCCTGGAGCCTCGTGGAGTCCAGTGGCTGGGTGCAGGCAAGGAGAGGCTCCAGGTACCACAGAGGACTGCGATAATGAGGCTTCTCAGCCCACCCACTAAAGCCCCTCCCCGGGACTCTGAAGGCCTCCAGGGAAGGAGTGGTGGCAAGAGCAGGACTCCTCCCACCCTCTGCCCAGGGCTCCCCTCCACAGTGGCCACTACTTAGGGCTCTGTACACATCAGCTCAGGGCACACAGGGTTTGAGTGGACAAGCACCAGGGGTACCAGCTGATCTCTGGGGCAGGAGCAGTCCCTGAGATCAGGAGCGAGGGATCTTGCACACGTGCACAGGGGGAAGCAGGGAGGGGGTGCACCTGGGGCCTGGAGGCTGCGCTCCACAAGGCAGTCTGAGTGCTAGCCTACCCACGTAGAGAGGGACTCAGCCAGTCCCCAACACCACCAACACTCCCCACGCCCCAGTGCATGCACTAGGTACCAGAGAGGAAACTGCAAGGAAGGAGAGGAACATTCCTCCTGGATCCATGCAAAGTGACCAGGTAGTGAGTGCTGGAAACAGGCTCCAGGGAGGGCTTATCTGACCCAAACCTCTTTTATCCGCCTTTAGAGACAGGTTCCAGCTCCAGCCCTTGCCAACGGACCAGCATGGCCTGCAGTTGGAGCAGTAACGCAATTCCCACCCAGAGGGCTGAGTGCTCGGAGGGGCCTCCAAGGCAGGTGTCGGCAGGAAGGCGGGGCGAGGTGAGGCCAAGGCCAGGGACCCAGGGGATGTTGCCTGCTCTGCCTGGGAGGGAGGAAATGCCCGGGCAGCAGGAACATTTCCTACTCCTGCCTCAAGCTGTTGCCAGCCCCAGGGACTGAGCCTGGGGCTTGGGGGTGAGGGTGGGGATGAGGAGAAGGGGGGTTACTCAGCTCCTCAAGGCTGTGTCTCTGGCTGGTGTCTGGATTCCAGGCTTTAGGGAATTTTTCTCCATGCCCCCTCCAGTGCAGCCTAGAGATATGAAATTGGTCTGCTGCAGAGAGAAAGGGCCTAATTGCAGTAATTAAGTGGCAGCGCCAGTAGGAAGCGACGGCGTCGGCGTCAGCGTGTGAGTCAGGGTGAAAAGCCACCTGGCAGCAGGCCACGGGCCTGGCTCTGCCCTTGGGGCCTGCAGGCTTTGAGAGGGGCTTGGCTTGGGGATGAGAGCACGGGCTTCTGCTGACCACAGAAAACGGGCAGGCAGCCCAGGCTAAGAGGAGACTCCCCACTCTGGACCATACGTGACTCTGGGTACCCGGGCAGCCTTGGCAGGACCACTCTAACACAGATCAGGGGAAGCCAGTTTGTTCCCAGGGAGGGCTGGGAGCCACAAGGGGAAGCACCATTTCCCCAGCCTCGTGACTCCACGTAGAGGGACATCCCCACTCCCCACTCCGTCCTCCCAGGCAGAGGGTGACTCTCCTGATCGCTGGGTTTGGGAGAAGAAATTGAGCTCAGCCTTCCTCCCTCTGCCCCCAGTAGATGTGCTCAACTGTGGAGGGGAAGTGTTAGCAAGCCCAATGTGGCTACAGACCCAAGTCCACACTTTTCCAATCCAGCTTTTCCTAGTAATCAGGCTGACATTTTCACCTCTGTCTGTCCAACTCTTGTGCTGCCTCTAGGCTGATTCCAAACTTGGGTATAACCCATAACCCCAGTAGTTTCACAAACTATCCTGCATCTCATCAACTTTTCTAGCATCAGAGCCGAGACAGGAAAGCAAAGGGTCCAGAGGGGCTCATAAGGCAGGACTTTCAAAACTGCAGAAGGAGCACCGCCTCCCCTCCCCAGAGGTTCTCTTGCCCTGAGGTTGGAGCGGGTGCCGTGACTGCAAGGCCAGTGGCTTGGGGGTGTCACTGAGATCTTTCTGGCTAATGAGGCAAGCTGGGCTGTGCTCCTGAAGGATCCTAGAGCCCCTCGCTGCCACGTCCTGGACAGAAGTGTCCACGGCAGACAATGCCACATCTTTGCCCTGCAGAGGAGCATGGACGGGAGGCATAGCTGCAGCAGCAGGGAGAGGCGTATTTCCAGCCCGAGGGTCTGGGGCTTCTTCTCCATACAAGTGGCCCTTGTCCTCTCTCTGCTTGTGGGATTGCAAGGATCTTAGAAGACCACCTAGTCCAGACTTCCTCAAATCTTCCTGATCATAAAAATCACCTGGGAAGCTTGCTGAAAATACAGATTCCTGGGCCACCCCAAACCTTCCGAACTGAAGCTCCAAGGAGGGTGCCTGAGGATCGGCACATTAAACAGTGCCCGGTGGTTCTTATCAAGCAAGTTTGGGATGAGCTGGACAAATCCAGAGACCTCATTCTACAGAAGAGGTAATAAGACCAAGAGAAGGAAAGTGACTTGCTCAAGGTCACCACAGTGTGGGAGAATACCATCTTTTTTCTTTTCTTTTTGGCCTCCTCCATTCTAATACAGAATAGCGTAAAACAGAATAACAAAATCAAATAAATCGATATTCTTATATTAAGAGGGAAAATGTCAAGTGCAAGAAAGCAAATGTCAGGCTAAGTGTTACCCATCAGGAGAACTGTGTCCCTAACCGGCAAGCAGCGGAGGAGAGGCCCAAAGGCTGGAAGGCTCTGAGCATCCCGCAAAGACCCGAGTCGTTGGGGTGGCTGTGCAGGGAGCTGCCCACCTCGGAGATCTTCTGGAATTGGTTGTTGGACTGGCTGCACTTCTCAGCTGTCTCCAGAGCGACTTTATAGTTATCCACAAACGCTTTGTACACGCCAAGCTGGCTGGCCTGCCGGGAGAAGAGAGAGGAGGGAGAGAGGAGGGCAGGAGTGGGATGGGGAGAGAGGATTAATGAATGGATGAAAGCTTAACCAGAGCATCTGGAGCTCCCTTAGCACTCAGAACCTCTAACTCAGCTCCAAAGGGCTGGCTGGGAACAGAGGGGAAAGGCAGGATGAACATACTACAGTATCCCTTTGAAATGACAGTTTCCATGGAAACTGGCTCAGCCAATAAGGTTAATAAGGGGGTCCTGGGGTTGGGGGGAGCAGAGCAGGGCCTTTGTTGGCATGTTAGAAATTCAACTCATCTTAGCGTTTGGCTTTACTTAGCATCATCAAGGTCTTGCAGGGTTTGAAGCCCCTGAACGCCTCATACCTCTTTCACAGCCTGGAATTAGCTGGAGCAGGGAGAGACCGGGAGTGGGGTGGGCACGTGCCGCCTGCTCAGTACCCCACTCCCGATGCTGACCATGAGGCACAGCATTTAAAGGCACAGTTCCCACTTGCCCTCAGCCTCTAGGTCCCTGTCCCTACCTCCTCAGCCTCCAAGGAGCCGGAAGCCCTGCCTCGCTACACATTTTGCATGTCACTCTGAACCTAACACAAAGCTTTCCCTGACTTACTCATGACCACCTAGAGGCTCGCCTCCTCTGGGAGGCAGAACAGATGCCATCATCCCTTTCTGCAAAAGGGAAACCAAGGCTCATTAATTCAATCCCTCAAATAGTTATGGAAAGCATTCTCTGTGCTGTGCATATGCATTTCCTTTTAAGGGAGCAAAGGGTGGAAATTCAAATTAAAACCACAATGAGATACTATTTCACACCCATCAATCTAGCCAAAATTTAAAAGTCTAATGATATCAAGGGTTGGCAAGAAACTGGGGAAATAGGAACTTTTATAGACTGCTTGTGGGGATGTAAATTAGTCCAATTATTTGGAGAGCAATTTGCCAATTACTAATAACGTTGAAGATATGCACAGCTCAGCCTGCTGGTTAGCAAATCCACTTCTACATACAAACTCTGGGGCTCTGCTGCCCAGTAGGGAGCCACCTGCTACCTGTGGCTACTGAGCACCTGAAACGTGGCTAGTCCAAATTGAGATGCACTGAAGCGTAAAATACACCCTGGATTTCAGACTCAGTATGTGTAAGAGAATGTAAACTATCTCATTAATTTTTTAAATATTGATTACATGTTGAAATGATAATATTTTAGGTCTATTGGGCTAAATAAAATATATTCTTAAGATTAATTTCACCTGTTTATTTTTACTTTATCTTATTTCATTTTTATTTTTTAAAATGTGGCTACTAGAAAATTTAAATTATATATGTAGTTCACATTATATTTCTACTAGAAAGCGCTGCTCTAGAGAAACTTGCATTTGTGTGTGCCCAAAAAAAACATGAGTGAAGGTATTCACTGCCTCACTCTTCCTCTGGTGGAAAGACTGGAAACAAATGCTCACAAATAGAGGAATCTGTACACACACTGCAGTTAAAATGAATGAACTAGATCTATGTGTAGCAACACAGACACGTTTCAAAACGAATGCTGGTTGAATTGCAAAATACATAAAATATGATATATATATATACACATTATATCCATTTAAAAAGTACATGCAATGCCATAAAAAGACATAGATATGCAGGAAAAACACAAACTACAGCCCAGAAGGCTGCACACCAAATTCAGGCCAGTAGCTGCTTCTAGGTTGGGTGGGAGAGCAAGAGGAAATGGGTGGGAGACAGGGAGGGCCTTCATCTTTATCCGTCATGCTTTACTTTCTTGATTGAAAAGTTTTGGCGTGTATCTTCAGAGCTTAACATCTGTTAATTCTGGGCAGTGAGTACACAGTTGTTTGCTACATGATTCTCTAGATTTTCTGGTTTCAATGAAGTAGCAAGGAGGTTCAGCTGCCACCGAGTTTCCTCAGGCTCCCACCAGGTGCTGGGGAAAGTGGGCTGCCCCTGAGCCCCACCCGGACCACTCTGCTTTCTGCAGAATCCTTGTGCTCCTCAAGGACCCAAAATGGTGGGGGAGGGGCCTGGAGCTGCCCAGGGCAGAGACAGAGCCCCCCCGAGGAGGCTGGCAGGTGGCGCCCAGGAAAGCCAGAGAAGTAAGTGAGAACTGGGATGCCTGAGGAGATGCCAAGGCCAGAGCATGCAGGTCTCAGCCCAGATGGGCTACACTTTTCAAACAGAAAATCCTGGTCGGGGGGCGGGGGGAGCGGAAGGGATGGAGTTTGCTTCCTTTTTGGGGGGGGAGTACTGGCCCACTGGCGTCCCAAGCTCCAGGAGATGTGCTAGACAGGCGCTTCCTAAAGCAAAGTAAAAATCAGTGCTATTCTTCTTCCAGGAACATGCCCTCCTCATCCCTCTTTCCCAGGAGAAGGATGAAGGCTGGATACCCAGGTTGGAACATGACCCTCCCGTCTCACTGCCTAAGGAAGTAGCAGAAGGTGAGCCAGAAGCAGGAGCCACCTGGGCGGAAGGTCACTGGCCATCCCAGGCCATCCACAGTGCACCCTCATCTGTAGGGCCCGAGCCTCGCCTGCCAGGGTCATTAACTGGGAAGTGGAGGTTGCTTGGAAACAGCAGCCTGGCACTGGGGTGATCTCATAAAACAAATAGCAGAGATGCTAATTCTCTTCTCTGGTAAGGGATAATCAAATACCCGGAGACCAGCTGAAAATAAACTGCCTCCAGATGCCTGGCCACCCCGGCTCCACCCAGGCCCTCCCAAGCCTGCAGCCCCAGGGGCCTCAGACATCAGTGCGTGGTGCTGGGGAGGGAAGGTGAGTAGCAAATTCATGACCAGACCTGGAGCTGAGACCAGAACAGGTGACAGTAGGGTCCAAGTGATAAAGATAAACCAGGAGAGCCCTTCCACTCTGCTCTAGGCCACTCGCCCTCCTGCCCCCGGATTTGCTCTCTTCTGCTCTCCTGAGGGCTGAGGAGAGGCTGCCCCTCAAGCCAATCAGCTCAGGCTCCTGGAACCAGGCTGGAGTGATAACTGGGGTTCACCACCCTGAACGGGGGCAAGCACTTTGGGTCTGCCAGAACCAGAAGCATGGAGTTCCCCTACAACAAGGTCTTCTGGACTGCCTCTTCCTAATAATCATAATCATAATCATAATCATAATCGTAATAACAGTAATGATAGGGGCCGGCCCCGTGGCTAAGCGGTTGAGTGTGCGCGCTCCGCTACTGGCGGCCCAGGTTCGGATCCTGGGCGCACACCGACGCACCGCTTCTCCGGCCATGCTGAGGCCGCGTCCCACATACAGCAACTAGCAGGATGTGCAACTATGACATACAACTATCTACTGGGGCTTTGGAGAAAAAAAAAAAAAGGAGGAGGATTGGCAATAGATGTTAGCTCAGGGCCGGTCTTCCTCAGCAAAAAAAAGAGGAGGATTAGGATGGATGTTAGCTCAGGGCTGATCTTCCTCACACAAAAAAAATCCAGTAATGATAATGGCTAACTATTGAGTATTTACTATGTTCTGGGCCCTGTTCCAAGCACTTTTCAGGTATTAACTCACTTAGGCCTCAGAACAATCCAATGAGGTAAATACTATTATTATCCTCATTTTTACAGATGAGGAAGCTGCGTCACCGAGAGGTTGGGTAAATTGCCCAAAGTCACAGGTTTAGTTTAGGCAGAGCCAGGATTCAAACCCAGCTGTGACCTGGCTCTAGAGGCTGTGCTTGTCTCCACAACACTGCTGGTATCTCCAGACACAGACCTCAGGCCCTGCAACGTCTCCCTTAATGCCCTTCCCAGCTCTCCCTAGTCCCAGTGGTCAAGGTCATGACGTACCCATTCATTCATTCACTCATTCATTCATTCATTCACTCATTCATTCATTCATTCATTCAGGTATTGAGCACTGAGCTGCTTCTGGGGGTCTAATGATAAAGAAAATACAATCTGCCTTTCTGGAGCTTACGGCTTTGGGAAGTCAGGCAGTTATGGTGTTAACTGAAGGGACAAGCATAGGGGCTGTGTTTAAGGGGCTGGGAAGGCTTCTCTGAGGAGGTCACTTCTAAGCTAGGAACTGACCAGGAGAAGCCGGACACGATGGGGAAGGACCTCTCAGGCAGCTAGAGCCTCGAGTACAGAGAGATCAAGAGTGCCAGCAGTAGGACCTGAGAACAGAAAATTCAGGTCAGGGGGCACACAGGGTGAGGGGGGCAGCAGCCAGAGGCCAGGGGTGGACAGAGGCCAGCCTATGAAGTGTCTCCTAAGTCATCCGTCAGAGCCTGACCTTTATCCAGTGGGCAAAGGGGAGCCACTGAAGGGATTTAAGCAGGGGAGAAGCACGGTCTGGTCAGGAGTTTAGGTAACTCTCTCCTGCTGCTATGTAGAGGTGGAAGGCAGAAGGCGAACAGGCCTGGGGACCTGGAGGCAGGAGCCACTCATGAGGCCACAGCAACGGTTCAGGTGAGGGCGCCAGACGGGGTGGAGAGAAGCAGGTCGCTGTGAGCACTAAAGAAGTGGACCAGGGTGGGAGGGGATGTGGAGTGAGGGAGGGGATGGGGGAAGAGGAGGTGCCACGGATGAGTCCAAGGGAGTCATGGATGGATGAGGGATGGGATGGTAGCAGCACCCACCGAGACAGAGGCAGGAAGAAGAACAAAGAACTTCGGAGACAACGAGTTCAGTTTTGAACGCGCTGAGCTTGAGGCCCTAGAAGTATCCAAGCAAGAGTGTTCTACAGTGTAAGACAAGCAGAGGCTGTCCACTCACCCAGCCCCACCATTGCAGGAGAGGAAAGACAGAGGCGCTGCTCCCTGCCCGCCACCATTCACACCCGAGAACAACAGCCACTGACTCTGCTCTCCTTCCTGCCTGCTGGGTTGGCAGAAGTTATGGCGGGGGAGCCCAGGGGAGAGCTGGGTGGGGGGTTCCCTGGGTCTGACCTGAGGGTCGTCCATGGGACACAGCCAGAGAGAGACACAGAGCTAGGGGAGAGGGTGTCACAGAAGCCCCAGCAAGTAGAAGACCGCTGTGAGCCTTTCCCAAAACGAAGTCTGCACTGCTTCCACCTCCTCCTCTCTTTTCCCTCCCTTGCAATGGTGGGTGGGCTGGGCTCTATGCTTTCCGCTCCAGGGTCCTCAGGAGAGGACTGTTAGCTGACACGGTCTCCCATCCGACTGCTTCACTTCAGAGGCAGCACTGAGGTGTGGTGAATGCCCGTCCCCCTGGCACATGCCCCTCTGTCAGCTGAGTAACAGGGGACCTGAAGCCCAGCAGGGGAGCCTTTGTTCCAGCCCTGGAGCCCCGAGTGGGTGAGAGAGAAAGAGTGCCCTGCCAGGAGCACTATGTATACAGCCTGTCTCCATCAACCCTAGAAGCACTCCAGGGCTTCACTGGGGGAGGCCGGGAGTTGAGGCAAGGGGACCCAGGTTCCCCATAAAGCAGAGGCCCAGACTTTCCTCCAGGACTCCGAAATGACCCAGGCCTTCAAGGAGGCTAGGAGGGCTGGGGCTGACCAGTCCTCTCCCAACACCAGCAGCTCCACTGAGGTCCTGGAAAAGGCCTCTCCCTCAACGGGAGACTCACCAGTTTCTGGAAGAGGTGGCCCATGGTGACCTGGCTGTCCCACTGCTGCACCTTGGGGCAGAGGTTGTCATAGAACTCCTTGTGGATCTCATAGATGTCCTGGATCTTGTAGAAGATAGTCTCGATCTGCTGGATGGTGAGCACGGGCTGGGAGGTGGTGGCTGTGGCCTTCAGGGGTTTCATGGGCTGGGAGAGAAGAGGAAGAAAGAGCAGAGGTAAGAGGCAAATAACCCAGAGTATCAGCAGGCCCAGGGCACTGAGTAGCCTCCCTGCTGCCCGACTTTTGCCTGACAAGGCCACTGAGGGCAGGGCACCTGGAGTGTGGTTTGTATCAAGCAGCTGCTGTCACAGGGCCCAACAAGCCAAGCGCTACTGAAAGGAGAGGGAACTTGATAGCTAGAGCCTGGCCCTGCAGCCCTGCCAGGCCCAAAGGGTGGTGCCAAGACACATTTCCTCCACACCCTGACCCCCAAGGGGCTCCTGGCCCCTGGGCAGTACCGGGTTTGCTTGTTGGTTTAACAGGATCCATGTCTTTCTTCCACAATGGCCTCATGCTCTGAGTCATAAGGTCCCTTGTCACACTTTGGTGGAAGGAAGCGTTGACTGGGAACTCAATCCCTTAGCTATTTCCTTCCAAGAAACAGAACACAATTCTAGGACTTGGGGGTAGAGTCTCGAAGAGACCCAAAACCAACCTCACCTGCACTGATATTTCAAGTCCCCATCACTTAGTACAGAGAGAGTGAGCAGGTGGCATACACGCCACTGCCCTCCCTCCTATACCCATGGCAGACATTGCTAAGCGATCACAATGATCTTTCTCATTGAGCCTGGTCATAGTCTTAGACTCTTTCTCAATGCCAAAGTTGACATGCACGATGAAACCTATCTGTCATCTCTGCTTGTCTACACTAAGATCTCCAGGGTCTGCAGGTGGAGAGGGTGAGGTGATGACAGTCACTGAGGACCATCCCCCAACACCTGCTGGGAGCTGAAGCCATCACCTTAATGCCCAACAGTAGGACTGTGGGAAAATGGGGCTTGGGTGCATTTTCTAAATCACCCACAATGAGTAAATCACGAAAAAAGCTATCAAAATTCATAGTTGAAACAAAAAAAAACTGATACTGAAAGAGAGAGAGCTCCTCCTTGGTTGGCCTTCCCTCAGCCTCAAAGTGCCCAAAGATGTCTAGACTGCCCAGACTTTGCTCCACGAGACAGGCTCTGGAAACCTGCCACACAGAGAGGGCACGGGAGCAGAGGGAATGTTGACCTGGAAGAGAGAAGCCTGAATCAAGCATGGCTGATGTTCTTCATCTAGCTGAAGGGCTGTGGGGAAAGAGGCCTTTGATTTGGTCTGGGTCACTCTGGAGACCCAGGAGCAGCAAGGAGAAGGTATGGGGGCAGGTGTGGACTCACTAGAGCTGTCCCCCACTGTCTCACTGGATCGGATAGTGAGCTTTCCAACAAGAGAAGCATTCTAGCAGAGAATGGGGGATTTGACGCTGGACTGGAGGTGACACCTACACTGAGGGAGATCAACGTTATCACTAGCTCACTCAGAGAGATGACCACCAGCTCGAGCCAACCACAGCAGCCAAACTCCCAGCCACGCTTCACCCCATCCTCCCATCTGCCTCACTCTGATGGTGGCAGAGCCCAATTGTGTCCACCAGAGGAAGTCCCCTCCACTCAAATACCCAGACTATGCTCCAACTTCTGGCTCCCTTGTCCTCCCAGCTCTGGAAAGTCCAGACACCATGATAAAGGCAGGAAAAAGCAGAAGCCCTCCTTCTGACCCTCTCAGCACTGGAAGCAACTAACCTTAATGTCCAGCCTTTTGCTAGGGAAGCAGGATGAGGTTGAACCTGGTGCAGGCCAGGCAGGGTGGGTTTGAGTCCCAACTCTGCCACTTAATAGCTGTGGGCAAGTCACTTAGCATCTCTGGGCCTCAGATGCCTCCTTTATAAAACTAGGATAATATTACTGTCTCAAGAACGCTGATAGGAAGATCAAAAACCATAATTTATATAAAATATCTAGTATGTGTCTAGCACATAGAAAGCAACCTATAAATGTTAGTTATTACCATTATTACTACTCACCCCAAATAGTGTACCAAGCGCCTAATGTGAGGCCAGCCCGGGGTATTCAGTGATTCACAATACACACCCAATCCCTGCTCCCATGGAGCCCCTCATCTAGTAGGGGAGACAGACAAACACACAATTACATATAAGTACAATGAAAGAAATAAGAAGGGGGCCTCCGAGACAGGGTGATAAGGACAGCTTCTCCAAGAAGGGAACATTCACCTTGAAATGCAAGCATGGGGGCAGAGGGGACAGTATTCCAGGCAGACTTCCTCAATGCCCGGTCCTGTGGCGGGAATTGGCTTGGCGAGAGAGAGGAGCTGGAAGAAAGCCAGGGAGCCTGAGTGCAGTGGGCAAGGGGAGGAGAGGGGCCTAGAGCAGGGCTGGAGGGGGGGCAGGCGCCAGATCCTGCAGGGGCAAGAGTGTGGCGTTGCAGCCCCTGCAATGACCTGGCTCTCCCTGGAGGGATTCAAGCAGGGGAGTGACGGGGGTCCAATTTTCTTTTCAGGAGATTATTTTTATGACTCACAATCTTTGCTCTGGAGAATGTTACCATCTATTTGGGTAAACTGGACCAACATAAATGAAATAATTTAGCGGACAAAGCAAGATAGGGTATTACCCAACTTGGACTGTAAATACCAACCAAGTGGTGCCAAGGTTGTGCTGGCACAGCTCAGAGGGCTTCACAGAGAAGGTGACAGGAACAGGGCCTTGAGGGTTGGGAAGATCTGAGCAGGTGGAGGGGTGGGGCCTGTGGAGGCATGCCAGGCAGGGAAACAGAAGGAACCAGGAGCCAGGAGAAAGGGAACACGGTTCTCCCAACCCCAGGTGGGCAGCCACACTCAGCTCCATGGCTCCTAACACTCCATGGAGGATACAGAGGTGGCCCTCAGGATCACTGTCATAGTTTATCCTTTTTACCTCTACCCAGGATCCAATGGATGGACAAGTCACCACAGAGTCCCAGAACCTCTAATCCCTGTCCCTGCCATGGTGGGACCCCCATTGAGGGGGATAAAGGACATATGGAGGGGACAGTCCTTAGAAGGCAAAGGGGTCAGCATTTCCCAGAAGCTGCTGGGAAAGCACTCATCTGCCGCCTACGCAAAGACAAGACAACGGCCCTGCTTCCTCCTAACGGCCCACCCTGTCCACAAAAGGGGAAGAGACTGCTCTCACCAGTGGCGGGTCACACGTACAGGGCCTGCCCTCGGGCGTCAGGCAGTTCTCAGGACAAGGTTGGGGACCTTTGGCCTCATCCCTGATTTCACTTGGGAGGAGGGAAAAGCGCAGGGTGTGTGCCCTTGGCTGGCCGGAGACCACTGAATGCAGTTACTTTTATCTGGTGAAGCCCCGAATAAAGGCCTTGAGTTGAGAGGGATGGACAGATGGCTGAAAGGCAAAGGCAGCCCAGCACTGAGCCGTGATCCAGCACTGCTCTTCTGCCAAAGGGCCAGCACACCATCCCTTCCTTCCTCCTCCCAGAATCCTGCTGCGGAGGGCAAGGGCGGCGGCTCTCCATTTTATCAGGGAGAAACTGATCCTTAGAGAGGATCCCTGAGTGACCTCAGAGTCAACCCTGGCTCTCAATTTCCCATGAAGTGCTTCTTAGGAAGATGGGCCAGGCGGGCTCTAACTCACAGTGGGACTTCACACAGTCATTTGTCTGCTCTGTCCTCCAGCAACTTGCCGTTGGAGACAGGGGAAAGAAATCTGCCCACTTCCTCCATCTCCTATCCCAGAAGGCCTGGAGGCTGCTAACGTATAACATCGGTTACTCCTCCTCCAGGAACCCAGGAAGGAAGGCGTCCTTAACCTATTTTACAGATAAGGAACCCAGAATGCGAGTCTAAGAGAGGAAGAGAGGAGGGCCAGTTGTGGCCCAGTGATGGGAGGTGCTGCAGGCCTGACGCAGTACCCGCAGTTCCCACAGTCGGGGAGATGCAGAATACTTGCATTTCGGGAGATGCAGAATTACATGCATTTGGTTTGTCTCCCTTCTTCCACCCCACCACCTCAGCTCAGGCTCCCAGACCCACTTCACTCGTAATCTGAGCCCATCAGGAACCTGGAGGGTTCCAGAAGATTACCAAATCTTGCCCCAGCCAGCAACCCAGGGGGCAGGAACAGAGGCTCCTGTGTGGCGTCCCTGTCTGTGCCTGTGTGTGTACACAGTCTTAGGTACACACACCCAGCCATTTGCATATCAGGAAGTTTTAAGCTGAGAACAGTCAAACACGCTGGGAGCAGAGCTGTGGGAATGAGAATGGGGGTGGGGTGATGAGAAGGAGATCTGGGAGTGGGAGGGGGAGGGAGCAGAGGAGAGATTTTCTTCTCTGAGTCCCTTTGTCAGATCACCCCAAAAAGCAAGGGGCTTAGCTCTGCGATAGCTAGGAGGGAAGGGCCCCCAGCTCAAGGAGGAGATGAGGAGGGCTTGATTCCTGATAGCTAAGGCTGTGGCTGTGGAGGGTCCTGCCCCCTCTTCCTGGGGCCCTCCAGCCGCAGACGAGGCCTCCTAGCTAGTCCCCTGTCCCTCCCTCAGTCATGCCTCTGCTCAAGAAAGAACCAATCAGGGGCCTGGGATGAACAAGCTACGGGGAGAGGAAGCACTGGTCCTGGGTCACCTCAGGACTGGGGGCCCCAGCCTCACAGTTTTTGCCAGGCAAGGAGGGAGCAGCTTGAACTCTGAATCTGTTGTTATCTTTGCCCAGACAAACGGAAACTCAAATTAGGACCAATGACAGACAAGAATGCAAGTTGGAATCTAAGAGTGGCATGTGCCTCCCCTTCCTTCAGGGAAAGGGTGTGTCTGCAGAAACAAACAGGCCCTAACCTGCATTCTCTCCCTGCAGTGTGGAAGATAATCGTATCAGGTAACACTGAGGCTCTGTTCTAAGAGCATCACACACAAACTCACTTAGTCCTCACAACAACCCATGAAGAGAGCACTAATAGTAGCACACCTGGTTTGCAGGTGGCAACAATGAGGCACAAAGGTTCACGAATCTGCTGAAGGTCTAGAGCTAGTGAGCAGTCAAGCAGGGATTCAAAGCTGGGCAGTCTGGCTCCTTTCTTTGAACTCCTTTCAAATATGCCTCCTTCTAGTAATGATGACGACGCCCCCTTATTTTGGTACAGCACTTTATAGTTTATAAAGTGGATTTCACATGTCTCCGACTAGTTGTCTGCTTGTCCTTCCTTCAGCTAATATTTGAGTGCCTAAGTATCTGGCACTGTACTAGATCCCAAAGAGGATCACCTGATCTTCTCAACCCCATGAAGGAGAGAGAGAAGGTAACGGCATTATTCTCATCTTCAGAGGAGGAAACTGAGTTCAAGGAGGTTAAACCACTGGCTTGCCCAAAGCCAGTGGTTTTCAAATCCACAACGCATGTAAGAAATAACGTGACCCAGTACACACATATACATATACACACAACATACCAAAAGTTTCCTGAAACAGTACTGATTCTTACTATGTGTGATGCACACAAATATTTTCTTCCTCATTTGTTTTATTTATTTATTTTTTTTTATTTTTATTTTATTTTTTTAAAGATTTTATTTATTTATTTTTTCCCCAAAGCCCCAGTAGATAGTTGTGTGTCATAGCTGCACATCCTTCTAGTTGCTGTATGTGGGACGCGGCCTCAGCATGGCCGGAGAAGCAGCGCGCCGGTGCGAGCCCGGGATCCGAACTCGGGTCGCCAGCAGTGGAGCGCGCTCACCCAACCACCAAGCCACGAGGCCGGCCCCTCATTTGTTTTAAAATGCTGGTGCAACCCACTATGCTGTTTTTATAACCCATTAATGGGTCAATATGCACAGTTTGAAAAACAATATGTCTACTATTAATGGCAGAGTCAAGTCTTACCTTAGTTCTGGCCCCACACTGGAGTCCTTATCTACCTGCCACACTGTCCCTCACTTGAAAAACATCCCTGTGTATACCAATAAACTCCTGGAGAGATCTACCACAAACTCAGCCCAGTGTATTGTAAAGTATCTGCAGGTTTCAATAGTTTTTCCTTGGGTAATAAATGCCAAGTGCCATGGGACACTGGGTGACAACATCTCACACCACGGCAAGTACATAAATGTGTATCTTACAATCCTTATAAGAATGAGTTTCTACTGATCACATCTACATTTCTTATTCCTCCTTTTTCTGATATTATCTTATGTCTAACACTGCAAACCCCCAGGAGAAAGAACTTCACATGCCACAATCGCTCTGCATAATATTCAGATGCATCTAATAAGCACTTTCTTCAAAGGCAAAAACATCTTACATCTGTGTAGTACTTTCACCGCTGGAAAACATTTTAACAGTCCCCTCCCAGTCTGAGTCTCACAACAATGCCTCCATCTTGGAGAGGAAACCAAGGCACCTTCAGAAGGCTGCGGTTGTCTAATGCCTCAGAGCTATGGTGCTTCTCAGAAAGACACAGATAGCCCTTCACCCAGTTCCTCCCACAGGGCCTCAGGATGGCACGAACGGTTCACTGTTCAGGGAGAAGGAAGGACTGGGACCAGGAAGAACGACAAAGAGGTCTCAACTCGATTGACTGGCAGAGACTGCCCACAGTGTGGAGGTGAGGCTAGGCCTCCACCTGGACAGAGCACTGTGATCGATTAGTAATGCCTGTGCCACCGTGGCCATGGGCAATGGGGGTGTTTGCTATCCCCAGCCTGGTTATCCTCCCTCTCTTGCCTTTCCCAGGGCAGGTAATGGAGGGTCAGGGCTGAGAGGCACAGGTCCTTTCTGGAAATGACTCCAGCTGCCCAATGCTAAGCTGTAAGCAGAGCAGTACCACTGACTGCCCAGAGGGAAAGACTGTTCCAGGTTCTCCTTCCTCTCCAACTCCAAAAGCAATTTTAGAGCATGACACTGTCCGACAGGGAGATCAGAAGGCCCCAGGGCATATACTCACCAGCAGCAGGGCTTCCAGCTGGTTAATGTAGATCTCTTCGCTGGCCAGGAACCCCGAGAGAACCAGCTTCCTCATCTCCAGGCCCTTTCCTGCTTCCACCTGTACGAAGGCAAATGAAAAGCCAACAGCTGATGAGAAAGGAGCCAAAGTCCTGAGTGGCCTGTCTTCTTGCCTTTTTCTCTTCTTTAACTAACACTTTCATAGGGGATAAAAGCCAAATGTACTTATTAAAGAAAATCTGGAAAATACAGAAATATCAAAGGAAAAACAATCACCCATATCCCACAGCTAACGTCTTGCTTCGTTTCTCTCCCATCCTTTTCCCCACATTTTCTTATTTGACATCCATCCATCCATCCATCAACTCAAGCTTGTAACAGTGAGCAAGATAACAAAGGACCTGGCCTCATGTGTAGGGGGCAGTTTAGTGGGGGAGACAGACAGTTAAGAAGGGAAATCAGAGTCAAGACTGGGGCAGGGCCTGGTCACATGGAGGCATAGGAGGGAGGAAGAGGGTCAGAGTCAGAAGACAGGCAATGTGACCCCAGTAGGGAGGGGGGGATTTACTGCAAGATTGGAAGATGCTACACTGCTAGCTTTGAAGACAAGAGTATGGGGCCATGATCCAAGGAATACAGGGGGCCTCTCGGAGCTGGAAAAAGCATGGAAACGGATTCTCTCCCTTAGAGATTCCAGAAGGAATGCAGCCTTGTTGACTCTTTTAGACTTGTGTGTCAGAGAATAAATTTGTGTTGTTTTAAGCCACTAAATGTGTGGTAACTTGTTTCAGCAGCAACAGGAAACCAGTATGGACGCCAAGCTTCAGGGAAGGACAACAGTCATTTATTGATGCCTTCACAAGTACCAGGCGCTGTTCTAAGTGCTTTCCATGGATTAACTCACTGGAATCCCACAATCTGGAAGGTGTTGCCATCATCCCCCTGAGGGAGAGAGTGGAAACTGCCAGCTGCCTGGAGCTATCGGCACTGCAGGCAGGCATCACACCCTCTGAGGAATAAGATCAGAGCTTGGAGCAGGGCCTGCGGCCCCGGCTCCCCAAGGTTGAGGGTCTGAGGTCAGAACTGAGGCGGCCTCCCTGTACATCACACAAACCCTGCTGCTTCCCAAGCCTGGCAAATGGGAACTCGCCCTCCATGTTGGGGGCCAGCGGTCCCCTACTGCGCCCCACTCCCGTTCTGTTCCCTGCCAACCAAGGATTTGCCTGAGGGCCTAGCAAACATCCTCTAAAGGAAGTTACTTGGGGTACATTGTGAGCTTAACTGTAGAGCTGGTTGGACTAAGAGCGGAGTAAAGACCTGGTGATTTGCAGCCCCTGCCAAGCCTTCATCCACCTTGGCATGAGCACAGACCCTGTGACAGCCCACTTCAGCAAGCCCTCTCCTAAGAGTTTCCCAAGACCCTCTCCTAAGAGTCCAGTCTTGAAAGAGCTCCCCAAAAGGCAACAGTCACCCACCAAGAGTCCTCACTCTGGGCCACATTCACTTGAAGTTTTGGCTGGCATAGGGGTGGAGGTGACAGAGAGCTTAAGGATGTGAAATTAAATTGCATGCCTTTTACCAACAGGAGGCCTGTTGCTCAGCTACCACCAAAAACCTCTTCCATCTTTTCTTTGCTTCTCTCAGACCCCACATGTTCCTGGTTTAGAATTATCTGGAAATTCACAGTTGTTTCTTCAACCGTGGGAGGCTCTTCTTGTCTCATAAAACACCAGGCTCAGCATTCATCCATTCCCCACTATGTGCCAGACACTGGGAATACACTGAGGGAGACAGCCTCTGCCTCCAAAGAGCCCTCCAGAGGTGGTGCCACATGCCCAGAATCCCCGGGTGAGTTCTCTAAAGAGTTCACGGTCCCCAATGCCCATGCCATGCTGCTTGCCAGTCCCCCGGCACAGGGGAGCCGCCTTCTGAGTGACACAGTCCCCACTTCCTTCCCAAGCGGAGCTTATGAAATGCAGACACGGTGGGCTTGTCTGTCCCCAGCATTTTACACAATCTGCTAGGCTGAAAGTCTGTCAGCTTCAGGCCCCCAAATCCAAGAGGTCAAGTCAATCTGGTAGGGATAATATCTACAAGGAAGGCTTAGCCAGCCCTGGCCTGGTCTTCTACAGAGTTTAGAGGTTACGTAGAGCCTCCAAAGGTTTGGTTCTAGGCCAAGACACGATCTGTCCAGGAGCCTTGACCTCCCCGAAGACAACAGTGAGGACTGAACAGGCAGGGCCACCTGTGATTCAGAGCCTTAGGCCACATGCAGCATTCAGCCCATGGGCCACACCAGTTTGCAAGGAGCACCCAGCCGGATCTGCTGAGAGTAGATCCACTGGGTCGAGGGGCTGTGCCCATGCCAAGCATCAGCCTCAAGGCAGCTGGCCCCTCTCCGAGCTGAGACAACGCAGGCACATCCAGCATTCTCTCATCTCCTTAGCTCCAGGCACCGGGGAGGCCTCTTTTAGCTATTTCCTGACCAGAATTTACAGCAGCGAGGACAGGGGCAACTGCTGAGGGATGAAGCTGAAGTTCCAGCTCCCGCTCTCCTCAAGGGTGGATCCCCGTATTCCAGGATCCCTGCTGAATGAAGCTTCAGGCAGGTCCAGCAGTGTTTCCAAACTTCACTTGCTCAGACGCTACCCTTGCAGCTTTGTCACACTTATACACCACTGCACTATTACTTACTTAACGTGGTTCTTAACAACGGACTTCTTAAAAGCACAGCCTTCTCCCAAGCATTACACTTGAAATCATAAGATGTGCAAATCGTATTTTTTCCAGTATACATTAAAATATATACATAACTGTTCAAGTGCAAAATATATACCAGGTGCAACCTAAAATCACCTCTCAAATCATCACATATGTGGCCTGCACTTCGGGAAACACCCAAGTGGGGGACGTGGGCATGGGCATTACCTCCCATGGAGGGAGAAGAGACCTGGGCACGCGAAACAGAAATATAGGCATTTCAGATGATCCATTAAAAACTGGCACAGAATAACACTTGAAAGGTTAATCTGCGTTACAAAGGGATTTTATTCCTGACAAATGAGTTCCTTTAAATAGCAGCTTTTATATAGCAAGGCCTCCATCAGCCCCGTGTACCTTTGGATAGGATTGTATGAAAGATTTTTGGAAAGAATACAACACTTTACAGATGGGAGGTGATGTTGCTATCAGTATTCGAATTATTATTAGTTTATAGATCATTAACTCCTCAAAGGGAAGTCTGCATGGAAGGACACAGCAAGCTCCAGCCCCAGCTCTGGAGAAAACCACTGCCATCTTCACATCTGTCCCCCAAGAAGGTGCAGCATCTCAGAAATTACACTGAAAACAGGACTGATTTGTAGGACCGGCATTTGGACACATGCTGAGGGACACCACTACTGTTTAAAGTAAGTACTCCTGAAGTAAAGTAATAGCAAAGACAGAACTGTCTTGGATTCCTACCAGCTGCCGAGAAGAGTCCACCGTGCAAGACTGTACCAAGACCGTCTGCGGCCCAGGACAGGAGCGCACCCTCCAGAGATACCCCTTGACCACACACATGCACACACATGCACCCAGTCCAGCCCTGACTCAGTGAGAAGTACTCTCTCCTCCTCTAAGTTTAGTACCCTTTTATCAAAATTCTTCTCACGGCCCTGACTGCTTTCTCACTATATTCCTATTATCTGTGTACTTGCCCCCTGGCCCTGAACTGTGTCTCCTCCCCAGTGGCAGGCAGAGTGCTTTGAGTAGAATACAACCTGACAGTGTTTGTTGAATGAATCAATGAGCTTTCTTCCCAGCTCTCTGCAGCCACTCTGCTTGTCTTCTCCCTCTATAGATGGCCAAGCCTGGTAGAGGAGGAGGGCATCCTAAAGGTGTTCGGGATGAGACAGGGGGCCTGGAATTCCCCAACACTCAGGAAAGGCCCCTTCCCCCATGCTGGAGACAAGTAAAGGAACATTGAGGCAGCAAGGTAGAGGGGAACACTGCATGCAGGCGCTCACAGGGATCTGGGAGAAGGGGCATTTTTAGGTGTGATGTGAGCCCAGGACCCCTGGACATCCATGTGCTGCCTCCTTAGAACATCTCTGAGATGGAACAAGGCCGGGTACAGGTACACCCTTTGCAGGCCCCATCAAGCCTCACTGATTCCACAGATTCACTGGGCACCAGCCACACACCAAGTACCACGCAGCATTCAGCAATGAATACAACATGCCCTTGCCCTCGAGGAGAATAGGATGTACTAGAGGACGCAGATGCCTAGAGTTCCCAGCAAAATGAAACATGGGCTAAGACCAAGGTATAAGCCAGAGCCCAGAATAAGGTTAGACCCACAAGGCAGCATATGAGCAGGACCCCATCTGTGCTGGGGAGGGTTTCTCAGAGAAGATCCACATACCTCCCATCTCACACACTACTAAGCTCCTAGCCGGTGCTCTTGGTTCATAACCAGACTTTTTCCCTTTCTGTTCCTGGTGGGGAGGCTGGTCACACCCTAAGTGCAGGGGACTTCGTGGGCCCATTGAGAGACCTGACTTAGCCCCAGTGCTCCGAGCTAGCACCAGATGAGAGAACCAGGAGTGGGACACCAGCCATTGCCAGCCTTCCATTACAGCTCCTCTCTTCACACCCTGGCCTACGGCTACTGCTCCACCCAGACTCCACATATCAGCCCTCTACCGTGGGTCTGTGGTCTATTTTTACCTCCTTTAAAATCTCCTTCTCAGAACAGCACTGTAATGTGGGCGAGGCAGGGTTGTGATCCCTATCTTAGGGAGGGACAAAGAGGCCCAGAGAGGCTCAGTGACAGCCTCCCACCCACAGCAATGCTCTGTGCACCACGCCCTCTGGGGTGCAGTGTTGCCTGGGCAGACAGGCCCGGGGTCCCCAGATGGGTGCTCTCTGCTCTCTGTTAGGCAGCTTGGCTTGCAGTCTGCAAACTCCCTGCCATAACTTCTCACCAGCCCTCCCTTCTAGCCACAGAGCAGAAAGGAGATGAGCAAGCGGCTGAGGTTAGAGCCCTTAGAAAGGAAGACTGGTGTGGTGTGTCCTGCCTCAGGCAGCGCTGGTGTGGTTTCAAGGGGGAGCCCT